CCTCTCTGTTCTCATGTGAAGGTCTCGCCCATAGCCCTTATTACCATACATGTCTGTATCAGCTCATGGGACTCTCCCAGACTGCGAGCTGCTTGGGAGCAAAAGCTGAGGAATCCTTGAGAAGTAAAAGGCTCTGCAGAACAATGAGAAACACCCAGCTTTTACCAGTACCTGACTTTGAATCCCAGATGCCTAGACAGAGGGTGTGGAGATGAGCAGCTATTCAAATGCTAGCAATTATTATTATTATCAACATATAGCTGTATCAACACATGATCACTGAAGGAGACTGGGTCCAGACACTGGCCCGGAGCTCAAAGTAAAAAAGTCTCAAGGCAGAAGGTAACAGGTTGGCAATAGATTGAGACAGAAAGTTCAAGGGAAAGGATGAGCTTCTAGAGCCTTGGAATCACAAACATCATCCTCTTCCTTTGCAAAGCATGTGAATTTATAAAGCAATTCCACACTCATTATATCATTTAGTGCCTACAATCTCTGCTGTGAAGCAGGTGGCACTACACCCATTTTACAAATGAGGAAGTTGTTCTCACAGAAGGGAAATTATTTCCTTACAGTCACCTGGCCAAAAGTGGTGGGTGAGGCTTAGCAGTCAAGCCTTCCAACAGCATGTCCTGTGTTCTCCAAGTGGTCCAAAGTTAGCTATAGCCACCTGAAGCCTATGAGAGAATGTGCCAGCCTCACCCAGGAAAGCAGGGCAGGACCTCCAGAGGTCAGGGGCTCCCCAAAGTCAAGCATCAAAGCAGCTTCTATAGCCAGAGGAGATCAAGAGGCAGGAAAGAGGAGCCCAGTCCAAAATTACTTTGGGGCCTGAATTGGAGTAACTGATTAGCAATTCAGAAACCTCAAATAGTAGGATGTGAAGAGCCAACCATGCCTGTATTCTCCACGCCCCACCCCCAAAAATGTCAACCAGAGGAGTACTGTCTTCTAATGCCACTTATTTAAAATAAATTGCTCATATGACCCTTATTTCATTTTATTTTTTTTTGGTACCAGGGATCAAACTCAGGTCCTTGTGCTTGTGAGGCAGGCAGTGGAACCACTGAGCTAAATCCCCAGTCCCTGATATGACCCTTATTTAAAATCTTTGACAGAAGCAATGTCACCACTTTACACACAAGGAAATCGAGGGTCAGTGAATGCATGGGATGTGCCTGTGGCCACCCAAGTAAGAGACAGGGAGAAGAATGACACCTGAGGATGTCTGCTCACATCCCCCACCACACTCAGCAACAGCACTAATCCCTACGGTGCCTGTGATTCCACGCTCCCTGCAACCCCACCCCCCACACCCTTGTCTTTCTTTGTGTTCCATCTGATGAAGGTCTTTTAAGAGACAGGCTAGTGTGGGCCCCTGGTCAGCCGCCCGGAATGCCTGTGTGATTGGGGCAGTGGTGGCAGGAATAGCCACAAGGGCCAAGGCTGGGAGCAGCTGGGCCTGGACATCTGCCTCCAGAGCAGCTCTGCTTTCCAGAAGTAGGAGGAGGAGACATTCAAGAGGGCCAGCCCCAAAAGCCAGTGGACAGCAGGGCCGTACAGGTCCACGGTACCAGAAACAGCCCTGGACAAAAAGACAAGAATTCAACTCCAGACTCTGCCACCAGCCAGCTGGCAACCTCGAGAAGATCACTTCGGCTTTCAGAGCACCATGTCCTAGCAAAAGGGAGAAGCACAACACCTTCCCTCCTTACCAGAGTGGGGTGGGTGGGGTAAAACAGGAAGAGCACGATGTTCATTTTAAAGCAGCCATTGTATGATGTAGACATATATCAAAACATAATGCTGTATGCCACAAATGTATTCAACTTTTACTTGTCAACTAAAAATAAATGAGAAAGGGCCAGGGATTTAGCTCAGTGGTTTCGCTGCCTGCTGCACAAGCGCAAGGACCCGAGTTCAATCCCCGGTACAAAAATAAATAAATAAATAAATAAATAAATAAATAAATGAGAAGTAATGGGTAAGGTAGTCTGAGGATAATTAGAATCATGTTTCTGAAACCTGCTCAGTTTGGTTTACAACTTTTCTTTCATTCTATAAACAAATAGCAACCCACTAACACAAAGCAGCACTGTGGCTTCTATGTCACAGCACTGCCCACACAACGCTCACTTCCAGAACTGCGGTAGGTGTAGAGTTTGGAAAGCATTTCATTAACCAAACAAAGCCATTGACTGCAGGTAGTGAGGAACCAGGCTTATGCCATTTGCTTATGAATCCTCATAGAGATTCCCTGGTGCCCTCTTCTGGGTTAGGCTGGCCCAGTTCCTCCTCCAGCAAAACCCTGAGGGATTGGCACAGTTAGGGATACCACTGAGGCTCAGAGCCAGCTGACTTCATGGTTAGGTAATTTCTAACTGTAAGTCTTTCTTACTTAAAACTTACCCACTTTTGCAGTTATTTTCACTCTGAGAATTGTGCAGCTGAATGAAAAAAGCAGCCAAGGGAATAGGGTTGTAGGAGGGAAGATGCAGCTTCTGAGAGAACAGAAACTTAATATAAAAATGTAGCTCTGTAGTTGAAGCAAAGACTGAGGGATTGACTGGAAGGAAAGTTCATGCCATGCAGGCCTTAAAAGACCAGCTACCCTGGTTTTGCACAGGCCTACATTCGTAGCCTGCTTTCCACCAGAAATAGAAAACTCCCCGCATGCAGCTCGGAGGCATACTTTCCCTGACCTGTGTGTGTGAAATTATCAACCTACTCCCAACCATGCTTTTCAAAAAAATTTTTAATCAGTTGCCAATTTATTTCAAATTAAGCACAAGTTCCCACTTTTCCCTAAAAACCTTATAAGACCTGGCAACACAGGTCCTCACAATAGGACAACTCCAGGCAAAGCTGGAACCACAATTGGGCGCATGCTTTCCAGTTGCCCCAAACCTGGCCAGCTGCTCTTATTTTTGATTCAGGACTGGCTCCTGCCCCATTTGAATATGTGACTCCTAATTTACATGAAGCATTATGGATGAATATTCATTCGGAATTACTGAAGCCCAGAGGTTAGGGTCCTGGCTATAACCTACTGGCTTCTAAAACTTCTAGTGCAGAATAAAGGAACCAGAAGACCTGGAATCAAGAAACCTTTGACTACGATCTGGGAGCATTTTATCTGCTGTGTGTCAGCCAGCCAAGAGAAGGCTTCCCCTTGAGGGAAGGAGGAAGGGGATTCATGCCGCTTGAAATTGAAAGTCCGTTTCTTAACCTCTATTAATGCTGAGGGTAAAAATAAAATAAAGGAGATGACTACAAATAGGATTTTAAAATCAGAACTGATAAAACTGACTTAAAGAGTGCAGTAGGTGTGTGTTTCCCAAGGGCAGGGCTCATATGGAGTACAACCATGGAGCTCTTCACCCTCTCTGAACCCTACCAGGGGCAGGGCACTAACATGTGCACTGTGGCGTAGAATTTACATTGGTGAGATTCTCCACGTGACAGCATTTGCACCATGGGATAACGAGAGAATGTTCCCAGCTGAAAAACAAGGAAAGCCTTGCCTCTGCAAGGCTGGTGAACAGAGTCAGCCATCTTATACCAAGTTAGCCCTGAAGGAAAATTAATTTTTAATGCCTAAGTAAATGAATGTGTCAATTGGTGTAATGCTGAAAATTCCCAGCTATGAACATTTCTTAAAGTTGATGCACATTTCCATCCCCTAAAAAATGCAGATGTTAACTGAACTTGTATATCATACTTTGTGCCTTCATATTTTAAATCAATTCAGAATGTGACAGAATGAAACATGGGAAAGCAAGTCTGATGGAAGGAGAGGATGGAAGAGCCTAAGACCCCTGGCAACCAGGAAGATCAGAGTAGGAGTTCAGTAATTGGGAGAAGTGCACAGGAGTGTAATAAATAGTAATATCTGCTTGAGCAAGCTCTACTTCTGAAAATAACTAAATGACCTAAGTAGGCACATTTCTGCCCTGGCATCCATCCTGCCTGTCATCGAAATATAAGAGAATAAGCTTCAGGCCAACTACAGTGATAAATACTAGTTAAGATCCTGTGCCTCATGAAAGAGATGCCTCTAATCTCAGCTTAAAAGGGAGTAAGGAAACAAGTTAAGGCAGCACTTCGATGTCTGTACCAAATGCAGAACGTCCCACTTCATTTTCATCATCCCTATAACCACAAACACAAATGCAATAGATCACCCCAAAAGGAGTAATATATTTTTCTAAAAGTAAAATTAAAGGTCTAATCATTTTAGCCTTATACGACATGGTGTGTGCAGCCAGGCGCAAATCAAATCATATCCTGAGAGAAGTGCCCATATTTTACATTCAAATTGCTATGAATTTGTATACAGAGAATTATTGTAATGACAGATCTTCATCTCCTAGTAGCCAAATCAGTTGCCTTCTGTGAAGATCACTTGATAAGAGACTATAAAAAATTTCTTTTCTTGGCATACTTAAGGGGAGGAGGAAAAAAAAGAATCAGAGGTCAAGTAATGACTCTTATTCAGAGGACAAAGCAGTCAAAGACACATTTTAATACAAAATTGTGTTCTCTAGTTTCTATACCCAAAGTCAGTTGTATTAGAAAACCTAATGTGAATAGATTTATTTGCTGTATTGATGTGAAAAGGAAAAAAATACAGTACTCCTTATTACAGCAATCACTGAATAAATACAGAACAATGAAAACAACATAGATTGGATCATAATGCTACACAAAAACAATCCCATTTCTTTTTACCAAAAATAAAAGACATCTTATCTTAAAAATAAGCAAAGACCTAAAGAGAGAGTCACAGAACCCAGTACCAGCTTAAATATTTGGGGTCTCTTTGTTTTGCCCAGTACTCCACTCTGCCAAGTCATCTATATCCCCATAGCATGTTCTTCTGGACCCCTGAATGTTACATAGTCTCTGAACCTGCTCACCTTCCCCCAGCAAACACGTAGTAAGAGGGAGCTCAGGAGCCAAAGCCGCTGGTAAAGATTGTTAAGGATGAAGAGGGACCTTACCACTTCTGGGAGCAGCCTGGTTGAGAGGTCATGGATGGCTTTGACCACTATACATATGGATGACAGAAGGAATATCACCCCCAGGATGACACAGGCTCTGCAAAAAACAAAACATTGATAGTCTTAACCGAGAGAACTCCATACTGCTGAAGACTTGCCACAGTTGACTATGACAAGGACACAATTTTGCAATTGAATTCACACTGCCATACTTGCAGAGTAAGCACCCACACCCCCAGGATTGATACAAAGCCACCCCTGGGAGTATACAGTTCAGGATTCCATCACCAAAGGCAACCTCGTGTGAAAGGGGCTCACCATCCTGCAGCATCTAGCAGCATGTCACAAATGTGAGGAAGGGTCTTGCAGGTCACAAAACTCATCTCCCTTGTTCTGGCAAACAGGGTGCTTCATTCCACAAAGTGGAGGGTAAAAAGTGTAATAGCAAACGTGGGGGGGCTCTGGCATCAGATATTCCCAAGCTCTACCATTTGACTTGCTACAAGATCTTGGTCAAGGAACTCAATATCTTTTAGGTTCCAGCCCCTTGCCTTTCAGATGGGAATAACATTTCCTACCTGAAGATAAAAAGAGATAATGCACAAAACATAGCAAAGCAACCCACTGTTAGCTTAGATAAAGGAAATATACTCTGCATGCTTTTTTCAAATAAGATGGGAGAGACATCTTTGGATTTTTCCCAATGACAAAAAAGAGGAAGAATTTAGCGAGTGTGAGTGGTAAGATAGAGAATTAAAAATTAAATTAATTTAAAAAAATAGAAATGAGAGGAGGAAAGGAGGAATGAGACCAATCAAGATAGCCACCACAGGAGGAGGCAGGAGCAAGTTAGGAGCATAACCATGGATGATGCTACAGGGTACAGAGCTGAGGATATGGGGACAAGGAAATCTATAAGCCTCCAGACATAGAACATCTGATGACCATACAACAAATCTCTGGAGAAATAAAATGATAATAAACATGAGGAAATGATAATGCTAATGCAAGGGACTGAGAGACACAGAAACAGAATAAATGAATTCCCATCCCAATTTAATGCACCATCATTTGGCAGCCTACGCAACCCTCTTCCTCCAAGCTATCAAATAAGACCATTTTTCATTACCCATTTTGGACTCCTTTCTCTGGACTAACAGCATGGTCCCAAACTGCTCACTAACTTTGAGGTAGCACCTCAAATCTTAATAAACCCATGGACAGACACATCCCCAAAATTTCAGAGTCAGGACTAAAGGCAGGTTAAAAAAAAGCTCCATAGAATCCACTTAGGGATGGGGATTTAGCTCTGGTTTTGCCGACTGTTGCGCAAGCACAAGGACCTGAGTTCGATCCCCGGTACCAAAACACAAAAAAAAGAATCCACTTAGTAGGCTTCTCACCCACACTCTAGTTTTATTCTTCAAAGATAAGACGAAAGGAAAGAATCATTGTAGGTTGGATCAAAACACAAAAAGAACATTGAGATGGAGGGAAAAGTAATGAATGAGCTGGGGATCTTGGTGGAAACTTGATCATACGGATGAACTGCCATGGGTGCCATGCATCCTCATAATGAGCCCCAGGAGAGAAACACACACACTCAATGGGGAGAAAAGATAATGGAGACAGTAAGAACACGCTGATTCAGCTAACCAGCTAATACAGACAATGCACCTAGGACTGGTGTTAAGACCAATAAGGGACAAAAGGGATTCATGTGAAAGCAAGGTACCCCTACTGGAGGGCTCTTGAGTAACTAGGGACTGGAGCCAAGGCAGGAATCTCAAGAGCTTGTGAATCAATGCTCTTAAAGCAACTTGTTCGTGACTACCAAGTTCTCCACTGAATGCTGACTATGGGTCAGCTTGGAGTAATCTTTTCTACCTATGAGCAAATGAGCTGTGAGCAGTTCCAGTACAGAAAGACAGGCTAAAGTAAATCTAGATCTCCAAGATAAGTTTTGCAATGTTTTTCCCAGCCCCAACACTGCACTCACCTTGGGAATCGGAGATGTTTGTTGTTTTGTTTGTTGTTTTTTAATCTTGCCCGAGGGCCACTCTAAGTCAGTTTTATCGGAATCTCTAGGGTGAACCCAGCCTCTGCACTTGTTTAAAGGCTTCCAAAACAATTTTTATGGGCCATGGCCTGGTCTAATTCTAATTTCATTCTACTGCAAGGCCCAGTCCCAAGTGAGGTCCTGTTCCTAAGGAGCTTCCACTATGGAGTACAGCACATAGCTCTCCAGAACAAAGGCATGAAGGCAACAGTCATCCCAGATGGTGACGAAGTGTTGGGCCTTGTCCCTGAGAGATGCCCCTGCCCCTTTGTATGTGTTTACTGCTCAGCTTCTCCCTGAGAAATGAGTGGAGCAGCCACACCTGCATGCTAGGCCTTCTACAGGTGCCTTGTCATTACCCCCTCATCTCTATACTTTGCTGAGGGAAAAAGGAAACAAATGTCTGTACAGGGGATGTCTGTGATGCTCCAGAATCTATCTTTAGCCACAGCACTACAGGCATGCTTCTACCAAACACAAAAGTTGGGTTTCAATTTTGTGATATTACTTAAGGAAAGAAGTATAAACAATTCAAGGAACTTGATACATAATTTCTGCTTACATATCTTTAATCAAAGCTACACTATCTTCTATGCAGGTGCTCCATGTGCATCTGAAGTGGACAGAATACACTAATTTATCTGTAAGTTGCCCTGCATGGAGTCTAAGGGCTATCAGTCACTTTTCAATGGGGTAGAGAGGAGGAAAGAGACTCCACACTCTACCCAAATGCCCATGGAATGGGCTATATTGTATAGTAATTCTGAAATATAATGAAAATCAAAAGAAATTTATAATCTGGCATAGTGAAGTTTTGCATTAGTGTAATCATATTTCCTTCACGAATCTGCCTATGAATGTTCCAATTTTTTATAAAAGAATATTTTCCTCTTCTTTTCAATGGACTGCAAATTAGAAAACCACAGTCACCCTTCCCTCAACACTTCTGGAGCCAGTGTGGTACAGCCTAGCTGCTCTGACAATCTAAAGAAGCTATTAATAGCAGAGAGCATGATGCTATTTTTTAGCACTGTATTAATAATATATTGTGTTTACACAGCAGCTTTCCCCACAGGCTCTCAGAGTTTCTGTCTTGGCTCTTAAGTCCCATGGAGGCCATTCCCCAGACCCAGATTTTCATTTTTCTGCTATTTTATGGACAAGGAGGGGGAAGAGAAGCACGTTTCATAAACTCAGGAAGTCAAGGTTTGAGAGGCTACCCAGGAAGGAATTCAAAGTCCACCCAGCTCCACTGACACCCTCCCAGTGGTCAAGCCCAGTCAACCAATCAGCCACTAGAAGGCTCTGACATCCATGTCACATGCTCAGCACCACCACTCTGCGACCACCGGGATCTCCAGGATGCTGTCAAGATTTAATTCAGGAGCAAACACTGCAGATGTGGCTGCTTCTGCATCTGTACATGTGAGCAGCTTCCAAGCTTGGGAGGTGGAGAGTGGAGGGGCAGCTGCTCCCTCAGCACACGTGGCCTTTGCCTGAACAGGCTGGCCTGGCAGGTGACAGGAGCACTGAGAAGTAAGGTCACCAGAAAGAACACACTGTTTCCTCTCCTGCCCATGCCCTGGAGGACAACTCTGAGTCAGAAAGAGGCGAATGAATCACCACTCCCTTCAACATAATCCCCCAATCAATTCACACTAAGACAGCGTAAGCTCCCATGGGTCCAGAGGCTGTCACAGTGGGGCCCACAGATGAACAGCATCCACAGCACCCAGGGACCTTGTTAGAGAAGCAGATTCTGAGTAAGTCCACCTCAGACCCACTGAAGCAGAAACTCTAGGACCCAGAAATCTGCATTTTAATAAGCTTTCTGAGTGACCCTGATGAACAATGTATTAAGACAGTTAATGTCTGAAAGGCCAGCACAATCCAGAGAAATGATCAAAGTCACTTTAAAGAAATGATTATAGATGGTTAAACCTAGTTTTTTCTGTTGTTGTTCTGCAAAAGGCTGTGAATTACTAATTATATACAAGACTGTAAGTCTATGAATGACTTAGAGGCATTAATTTTTGCCTCTAAAATTATAAAGGCAAAATCTATCAGGCATTCACATCCAAAATGAGGCGAGATGAAAATCTGGCTCCTTGTCAACTGCCAGTTTATCAGCCCCCAGCTCACATTTATGAAGCCTGTCATACTAGTTCTAAGTCATAAGTCTTGTCATACTAGTTCTAAGTGATTTTCCCTCAAATCAAAAGAGTCATGAATGAGAAGCCTCTTCCACAACTCTAATATAAAACACCCCCAAAACACAGAGCAGCCCTGGCCATTAACCAATTACCTTCAGTTTTGAAAGTGCTTGTTTTACTTTCAATGTCATCTCTAAAGCACTTGCCTGAGAATCAACAAATAGGATCATATCAAATTAAAAAGCTTCTCCACAACAAAAGAAACAACCAATGGACTGAAAAGAAAACCTACAGAATAGGGAAATTTTTTTGCCAGCTATTCCTTAGACAGGGGACTAATATCTAGAATATAGAAAGAAGTCAAAAATTAGACCCACCTAAAATAAAAGACCTAAACAAACAATGGACAAGTGAAATGAATATACACTTCATAGAAGTACAAATGGTCAATAAATATATGAAGAAATGCTCCACATCACTGCCATTAGAGAAATGCAAATTAAAACAACACTGAAATTCCATCTTACCCCAGAAAGAATGGCCATCAGCAAAAAATCAAATAATAATAAATTCTGGTAAGCCTGCAGGGGAAAAAGGAACCCTTCTGTATTGTTGGGGGAAATGCAAACTAGTACAACCACCATGGAAATCATGTGGAGATTACTCAAAAAACTAAAAGTAGATATTCCATTTGACCCAGCTATTCCCCTTCTAGGTATATTCTCAAAAGAGTTAAAGAAATCATATTACAGTGATACATGCATACCCATGTTTATAGCAGTACAATTCATAATAGCTAAATCTTGGAAATAGCCTACATGTCCATTGACAGATCAATGGATAAAGAAAGTGTGGTATTTAGACACAATAGAGTACTACTCTGCT